CAGGCCACCGAGAGGATCAGGAATGGCGTCGCGATCGCCCGGTGCCGAGCTCTGCCGTTTCTGAGGATGGCGGTTGGGTTCAGTTTTACCTTGATGATTTTGATTGTCCTGAGTTCGTTGACAAGAATATTTGGAAACGTCTTCAAGGTACGATGTCAACTAAACATCAACTGCAGAGGGAGGCCTACAAACACGTGGGAGTGGAGGTTTCTGTGGATAAGTCACATGTACGTGAGCCACGTGTTGTTCGTATGGGAGCTGCGGTGGATGGCATCGCTGGCTTTATCGGGCCACCTTCGGATAAGCTTTTGGAGACCGGGTGGCTGTGTGTGTGGGTGCTTAGCCAAGCCACTGTGGGTGTGAAGCCACTTTTGATGGCACTGGGTCGCTTGGTAAGGTGCTTTGAGTTTCGGCGTCCTCTTCTGTCGATCCTTGATAGGTGTTGTCCTCGGGATCAATACAGGTTTCGACGAGGTCTTAGCCAAATTACCGCCAGAGAACTGGTGAGAGCTGTTTGTGCGCTTCCTTGAACTGCGGGCTCTCTACGAACGCCCTTCTCAGGCCTGGTTACATGCTCGGATGCATCAACAGAAGGTGGTGGCCTCTGTGCATCAGCAGGGCTGACAAGTGAGGGCACAGAGATGTTGAAGCGATTGGAGAGCGGTGAGGTCCATAGTTTTAAACCGGCGGGGGATCTGTCTGGTGACTGTGGTGAAGGGCCTCGAATTATGGTGGTGTCCATTTTCAACGAAATGGGCGCTCTAATGTCGGCTCTCACGCGCCTCCCGTGTCAAGTCGTTTGCTATGCAAGCAGTGAGGTGAACCGTGAACAAAAGAAAGTGATTCGCCGGCGTTGGCCGGGTGTCATCGAGTTGGGTGATATTTTTGGAGTGGATTTAAAACTTGTGGAGCTGCTTCAATGTTCTACCGGAGTTCTACCGGAGGACATGTGGATCTTGTTTTGGTGGGAATCAGTTGTCCATGTCAAGTTGTTGAAGAGGGGGTGCTGTCCCCTGGTGCAAAGCTTTTCAACGAAAGCCTACGTGTGGTCAACCTGTTGAAATCATGTTTTACAGTACCTGTCCATTATTATGTAGAAAACTTGGCCAGTTTGGACTCTCGAGAGCTGAGCAACTTTAATCAAACATTGGGCATTGAACCACTTTTGGTGGATGCCAAATGGTTCACATGGTGTCATCGTCCTCGCTTGTTTTGGTGCTCGTGGGAACCCTCTGTGCAAACCGGGGAATCCATCGTTGCGCATAAGAATCACAAGAGTTGGGAGTTTCCTCTGTGCCGCCAAGGGTGTGAGAGTTGGCTTGAACCAGGGAGCACGTGGAAAGGCAGTGCATGGCTGCCAGAGCTAACTCAAATGAAGACTTTAAGAAAAGCACCCAGGAATCCAGATGGGATCGCCAAGGCGTCGCCGCCAGCTGTGCAGCGCTGGGAGGCAGACAGCTTCCGAGTGCCAGTTGCTAACTATGAGGAACGAGCTATGGTCACCGACAAGTCAGGTTTGCTGCGTTTACCCTCGTTGTCTGAAAGAGAAGTACTTATGGGTTTCGATAGAGGATACATTGAGGGCACTCTTCCACACAAGATGAGTGTGGAGTCAAAGTTTGTGCTGGGAAGTCATATGTTGGGCAGGACTCAATGTGTGCATGTTCTGGTTATGTTTTGTCACTCTTTGCTCTCCATGTTTGGAGTGACACAACCACGAAACCATGTATCGCTCGTGAAGCAAGTGTCCTTTGCACCTCCATCCTGGCTGCTTTTTCCGCGCTTCGTTCAGGGCTCCTGTGAAACCAAACAGGCTCAACTGCTGGTTAAACACTTTTGCAGACAAGCCGAGAGAGGAGGCACTGACGTTCGTCTAGATGTGGGTGTCCCCTTTCGTGCGAAAGCATGGCCTCGAGCAGGTATAAACTCTTCACTTTTCAACTGGTCAGTGGTTCATGGGTATGCATGGAAGCATGATGCCCACATCAATGTGCTTGAGTTGCAAGCCGTTCTTAATGGGCTCAAATGGAGGTTGCGTCGTGCAAGCAGAGGTCGCTGCCGTATCCTACATTTGATTGACAACCAGGTTGTTTGCTCTATTATCGCCAAAGGGCGAAGCAGTAGTGCCCGCTTGAAGAATGGCCTCCGTAAACTGAATTCACTAGTGTTGGCTAGTGGAGTGGTGCTGGCGGTTGGGTACGTGGCCACAGACTCAAACCCGTCTGACATACCGTCGCGATGGGCCGTGCGCTCACACTCACTCAAAAAGAAGAGAGGCAGAAATGTCGCAAAGGGCAGAATTTGAAATCTCAGATGGTCACTGCAAAGATCCAGGATCGATACGCAAAAGCAGTGGGTCATATTTTGTCTTTTCTGGAGCATATGAAGTCAGATTTCGTGTCTTGGGACAACTTTGATGAATCAGTCTGCGCTTGGATTGAGTTCGCATATTCGGATGGGGAACACAAATCCCTCGTCAACTTTGCCCTAGCCGGGTTGCAGTTTTATCTGCCCGCCTGTGTTGGCAGGCTTAAGCAGGCCTGGCGGCTGGCAAAAGTGTGGCATCGTATAGAGCCACCCCTGCGCGTGTTGCCCTTGTCACCCTTGCTGACCGCGGCGTTTGCCGGGGCGTGTGTGCTCATGGGCTTTACTGGAGAAGCAGCAGGGTTCCTGATTGCTTTCGACTGTATGCTGCGGTCGGGTGAATTGTACAACTTGCAATGCAAAGATGTTACTTTCATGCGAGACAAAGCGGTCCTCAGCTTGGGCAAAAGCAAAACTGGCAAGCGTACAGGAGCAAATGAAATGGTCGTTGTGGAATCGCAAATAGCGGTGCGTTGGCTGCGCATAGCTTGCTCCACGTTGCGTGCAGAAGATTATCTTCTCCAGCGCGGAGAACGGTTCTTCCGCAAGCTTTTTCATGCTTTGGTCGAGCTCTTCGAGGTTCCGGGTTTCCTGACGGTTTACAGTCTTCGAAGAGGTGGGGCTGCATGGAATTTTCTTTTCCATGGCAGCATGGAGAAAACGCTATTACGAGGCCGCTGGTCTAGTAGCTCAACACGCGTATCTACTTGCAAGATTCGGCGGCCACAGTTAGCCTCTTGCAGCTCAGACCAAGCCAGCGCAGGATGGCACAAACTACTGCAGCCGCGTTGACTGACAGAGCTGCGCTGGTTCCAAGATCGTCTTTTGGAGCTTGACGGCTAAAGCCAGGCTGGGCAGGTGAAGAGGAGAGCCCTAGTACCTTTTCTTGCGTGCTTCGGATCGATCCCTTTTCTGTTTCCGGGTACGCGGTGTCGGCCGCGGATCCGGAGGGAGAGGTCATCGGTTGACTGCGTTGGCAGTGGAAGCATCTGTTTAAGTACAGGGTGTCCGTTGCTTCTCCTCTTGAACACTTTGTGCTTGCAGCACAAATCTAAGAACCTGCTGGCGTGGCAAAACAGGGAGCGTCGGCTCGCAGCATAAACTTACACTTTAAAAAAAACCCTAAACCCTAAACCCCGAAACACCGAAACCCCGAAACACCGAAACCCCGAAACCATCACCCTAAACCGCAGGTCGGAGTCTATCCCGACCCCCACACCACCCCGGCCTCCCCCTCAAAAAAAAGGGTCGTAGATTGTAGGCTTTTGGGGTTTGGGCTTAGGGTTTAGGGTTTAGGGTTAGGGTTCGGGTTTAGCGTTTAGGGCTTAGGGTTAGGGTTAGGGTTTAGAGTTTGGGTTTTGAGGTCCGAACATCTCGTTGTGGTACCCTCTCGTAGTCCCTCTATATATATATATACACATCTATATATATATATATATATATCTGTGCCTGTTATCTTATATCCTGAAGACCCTCTCCCAAAGCCCCTCCGTCAATTCATAACGGTTCGGATTTGGGGAGGCTGGGATGCCCCAACTAAACCTGATGGGACCTGCACTCGCTGAGGCTTTCTCCGGTTGCTTCGCATTGCAACTTGGCCTTTTCTTTGAGGTAGGGCTTTAGGGGCTTTGGGTTAGGAATTTAGGGGTTTAGGGTTTCGGGGTTTACTTCAGGGTTGAGAGTTAGGGACCCAAGCCTCTGGGCGCAGCTAACAACCTCGAAAGCCCTGAGCTTAGAGTTTTGCAAGAGCTGGTGTTATAAGCCGCGCAATCCCAAAAGAGGGAAGCTCGTAGTAGATCCTTTGATAGAACGGAAGCCCCAAAACCCAAACCTCTGCTAGAACTTTTACAGACGAAGCACGAGTAGAACCCCGAGGCGATACGATCACAAACCGAAAATCCTAAGAGCGTATTAGGGCTTTGCCCAAGACGTAGCTAGCCGACGGGAGAACCTTTAATTTGTTGGCCCTTAGCCCTAAACCCTATTTAATCTGGTAGTTTTGTTGATTAAAGGAAGTTTGATTTTTTTGGGGTCCGGGTATTGAAGAAGGAAGAAGAGCATCTCGAAGGTAGTGCTGTCGTGAAGTTGGGTTTCGGGCAAGTTTAGGGCATTATACGTGCTACGTACCCAATGCAGACCCTTCCAAACGGAATATACTTCAAATTCTAGTAGGACCCTGAATATGGTTTAAGTATATTGCTTAATTACGGGGGTTTGGAGTCTCTGGGGAGCAGCAACCCCAAGCCCCTAAGCCGGCATCACGACGCCCACAAGAACTCACACCTAGTCATCAGAAGCTGCCTGTGTGTTGTTCCAAGTAGATGACGTCATCCTGTTTAGGGTTCGACTCAGCGTAGCCGTCAGGGGTATGGTGCCTGCTTTAGTAGGAGTTCGCTGCAATAGACTCAGCAAACCCCAAAGCCCTTAACCCTAAGACTGAAAACCACGACACACTCTCGAAGACCCAAAATGGTCGTGTCGGAGGCAATCCAAAAAGGAAGTGACAGCGGGCGTGTCCCGAGAGACATAGTAGTGGGGTCTCTGGGTTGAAATCTCAGCGCCCTCAACCCTATAGGTCTGATTCGCAGTCGACTCAACCCTATAGGTCTGATTCGCAGTCGAATGATACTTTGGAATAGTCTGTATCCGAAACCGAAAGGTGAAAGTCTTCAAGCTCTTCTACACCTTGAAAGTTCGGATCAACGGCTCGCCGTTTCTGCTGGCGTTGCTTGGGCAGATCTCCTTTTTTTCGTGTCGGGGGGATGTGTCCAGCGAAGCTCGGGGGGCATTTGGGCATGAAGGCACATGGATACTTAGGATAATTAGGGTTGTGGGGTAGATTATGAAATTATAAGGAAGTTAGGGCCAAGTAATCCTACCCCCTGTAATGGCTGTATTTTTCTTATGGGTTCTGAGTTAAAGCTGTTGGGATCACTTCGAGTGTGATGCTGGCTCAGTGTCAGGATCCCTATGATTTTCTTGGCTAGGGAGCGGGGATTCATCAATCCGGCTTTGGGGTTTAGGGTTTAGGAAGGGGGTTTGTCTTTAGCACAGGGGCCTAAATAATTAACATTACAGTTATGGGGGTTCCTTACTATAAGTATAGTATAATGGACCCCAAAACCCTATTCTAATTATGAAGGCCGCCTGAAGGCCCCTATGTTATGTAAGCTCCTGGTCAGATTACCCCTCACTTCTTTAGGGGCACCAGTATTGGAATCCTGAATTGTGGACCTTGGTCACGGGCGGTGGAGCTACTCGTCAACGTAACGGTGCGAGGGTTAGGGTTCAAATGGTTCATTTGGGGTGTCGCGCTATGGATCGGTGCGAGTCTAGACGTTTTTCCGTCGCCAGACCATGAAATTTGAGGGTTCAAATTTCAAGCTAGTGTAACCTACTTGTTGAAGTGTCTTGTTCATCTCTATTGTTGGGGCTCTAGTAGGAACAGCCATGAGCCAGTGTTGGAAATCCTTCTCAAGGCTTGGTGTGGATGATGCTGAAGGGCAACCCTATAGTAGAGAGCATTGCAGATTCCTCCAGGGAACCCTGTAGAACCATACAGTGCCCAGTAAAGGAGCCCTCTTCTGTCTATCAAGGCCCCTATGCCTGTCAGGTTGAACATCGTCAAGTTCACAGTCTTCGCACTTTACTTGGCCGCTTTGCCGCCATGCCCCGGGCACACCACACTTCGTTTCCACTGTAGGGCTTTGTGGAGTAGGGTTTAGGGGTAAGGGTTGCAAGAGCTAGGGTTTAGCCATTAGCTTTAGCAGGATACAAGGATAGAGGCTTGTAGCGCCGACCGCCCTGAACCAGAGCTTTATACACCCTAAACCAATGACCCTGAACCCTTAAACCCTAACCCTAAACCCCGACCCCACAGAGCTCTAAAGTTTCCTGAACCTGTCGGCATGTCATCTGCAGGCCAAGCTTTCGGGTTCCTTGAGGTTCCAGGGCTCAGGAGAAAGGGTTCCTAGCGTTGATCCGTCGGGCCACAGGCTGATGTGCTGTGGTGGTACGGATTAGGGGTTAGGGGTTGGGAGTAGTAGCACCGGCAGCACGAGGAGCAGGAGGAGGGAGGAGGGAGGTGGGAGGATGAGGGCCGGGAGGAGGGAGGAGGGAGGGGAGGAGGGAGGAGGGAGGAGGGGAGGGAGGAGGGAGGAGGGAGGGAGGGAGGAGGAGGAAGAGTAGCAACAGCAGCAGCGGCAGCAGCAGCAGCAGTAGTAGTTACTACGGAACGCATCAGTAGCAGATTCAGAACAGTCATGACAAAAGTCGTTGAAAGAGATAGAGAGGCTCATGTCCTCGCTTGCGTTTGGTGGGCCGTCGGCGATACCGAGCTTGGCTGGGTTTGGGAAGAAGGCCTGAGCTTCGGGAGCTTAGGGTTCGTTCAAGGATTCTTTAAAAAGTCCTAATTGCAAGGGCTTTATACGGGATTCATTGGTTTGGGGTTGAGGGTCGGGGCAGGGTCATTTTGTTGGTTTTTGGTTGAGGTCCTGTCGTGTGGGATTGCATGGCTTTATCGAGGTCCCGTCTTGAATCCCAAAAAAGACCTCCAAGACGATTGGCTAGGTCGGGTGTTTCGGCTGACATAGGCGCTAAGTCAGATCGTAGGGAGTGGCGCCGATGTTGGTGTTTAGTTCGTTGGTTTTCCTGGGGGGGCTGTTGTGGTGTTTGTTTGGCCAGGGTTTTGTGCAGTAAAGCATTCAGGGTCCAGGGCTAGTCTAGTATCCTGAGCTTTCTCCAAGGATAGCGCATTCCATCTATGGTACCCGAGTTCAACAGAGCTCACAAGTTTGATAAGCTTGGAATCCTCAAGAAAACATGCACCCATGTATGAGCCATGTTTTTCGACCACCCCCTCCAAAGTTTAGGCTTAGGTTCGCGGATGCACTGATAAGAAGCAGGTCCGAACTCAAGAGCTCCAAGTCTAAGCCGAAACGCTAAGCCCTGCAACCGCTTGAAACCCAATCCGCTAAACATGTTAACCTTAAAAACCTCGAACCTGGAAAACCGAAAACCTAAAACCCTTGAAATCTATACCCTAGTAAACCCTAAACGTCTAAAGCTTGAGAGGCCAAGACCTGAAAGCCCTCGAGGCCTAAACCCCAAACCTTGAAGAGCCAAGACACACTAAAGTTCTACACCAGTTTAAGGGTGGGAAAGCCAATTTGCTTTTGCCTCATGCTGCCCCCTAAACCCTAAACCAGGCCTGCAAGACTTGCCTTTCTTTGAACAGTACACCTCGGCCGTCCAGTCACCTTGATGCCTTAGGGTGTATGGTTTGCTTTTAGTTTTTTCTTGCGTTGTCACAACTCCTCAGGATTGATAGGGGCCTGCTGAGGACGTTGAGTTTTTGTGTCGAGTGGTGCTTTGCAGGATTTTGCGTACCTAAACTGAGCTGTAAAAGCTTACGCTTCACCCGCGAAGCTCCCGCAGAACCTGACCTATAGTCTTCATTGTAAGGTTAAGGGTTGAGGGTCCGTCTTTAGTGCAGCTGCCTTTATTTTTAGGATCCCTAATTCACCAGTGAACCAAACAACAGAACTACAATGCAGACTATAGGTGTAGCCCTGAACCCTAAATCCCAGCATTCCGATGATGCAAGTGGGTCTTTCTGCCTCCTCGTGTTGTGAGGCTGGCAACCCACAACTGTCGAAGCTACATGAGTTGGGGGGTGGCTTTAACTTCAATACTGGTGGGGTTCAGGGCCTAGGGGAGCTTGAAACGCCGAAACCTTACACCCTGAACCTTAAGCATCTCAAGTGTCAATGTGAGACCTTAATGAGATGTAA